TTCTCAAAACCTAAATTCCACAATTTCTTTATTATATAAAAATCAGGATGTTACATCACGAGGCATGGACAAAATTTTACAATAATAAGTCATGAATTAGACACGTCAAGGGCTTAAGCAAGAGGATGAAGGAGAATGCTAAGAGCTTTACTAGGGTTTAAAGATTTGAAGCTGAGCATTTTAGAGCTTTTAATTACTTTAGGTAAGTTTCTCAAGCCTTAATATTCCTTTCTCTTCCTTTTTTTTTAATAGATTTGAGAGTTAGGGCTTGATGTAGAAGTGATTTTCAGAACTTCAAGGCTATAGGTCTGAACTCCTTAAGTTAAATAAAGTTAATGGGAGTTATTTAGATTATTTAAACCTAACATTTATGCTTATAAGCATCTTTGAGCTTGTGTTCATAATGGTGGATGAAAATGTAGATTTGGAGAGTCATAAATGTGTTTGTTGGAGGGTAATGATAGCTATTAATGGTCCTAAAAGGGGTTCAATGGGTTTGGTTAGAGTTGTAGAGAGTCAATATACCTAATGGTTATGAGTATAAATGAATAATGCAGAACTTGGGGTTAATCAAGTGTTGATTTTGAGTATGGAAGTATGCTTGTGGTGTGATTAACTGTGGTTGGCATGATTGATTATAGAGAAATCATTTTGTGTACCATTTTAAACTTATATCAAACTTTGGAAGCATATATTGAGGAGTAAATGTTTGACTACTCAAAGTTGAGTCCTCAAAGGTTTGAAGTAACTAGAGGAATCTACTTTGTGTAATTGTGTGTTAATTAATTTAAATTCCTATGTAACACGTTTTATAAACTACAATTGAGGCTATGATGATTTTATAAATTATGATATGATGATAAAATAAACAAAATCACATGTTGTGTTATGATAATGATAATTGTGATATAAGAGTAAGAAAATTTGTAATGGTATGCTATTGGTGAAAGAATAACATTGCCATCGTTCTCCAAGCATCACAATATTGTCTTTAAGAAAGCAAACAAGCTCACGACGTTGTGCAAAAGTGACCATTGTCACTTTCTCTCTTAGTGGAAAGCCTTTCTCCCACAGCCAACCTAGCATCAACACTATGGTCAACAAGTTCCTGCACCATGGTTTTGCTAGAAGCAGGCCCAAGAAGAATGATAGTGCAACCAAGAAGCTGATCTAAAAGCTTGTGAATATGATGAATGAGAGTTAGGCAGAAAAGAAGGGAGAGATTTGATGAAATTTTTCAATCAACCCTCAAAACTAACTAAAGCTAACCTAAACGAAGTACTTAGGCTAACCTTAGGTCTTTTCTCAAGAAGGAGGTTCTAACTCTTATTCAAGAAAACTTAGTAAATAGATTAACTATTTGAATGAAGTTTTGACCTAATTAACTATTGAATTAAAGTGCAAACTAAACCTAAAAGTGTGCGATTAGCTTCCCTTATCAAGTAAGAACCTAAGATATTGTTAATGAAAGAATCCTAACCTCTAATTAATTATGGCAGCTCACTCAAACTTCTCCCCCTTGGTTGAGAAAATGATTACTCAAGACAACTATCTTAAGCAACCTAGCTTCACTAATTCAATTCCCTAAGTGCTAATTATAAGACTTTTAAGTAACATCACTAACTTAGCTTAGAAATTAACTAAGTGTTTAATTGAATTTCACTCCCTAAATAGCCATATTCAAAGGTAACTCAAGCATAAAACTATGCAACTCAAGCACTTAATCAAACATTTATCAAACATAACTAATGCAAGGTTAATGCAAGATCAATTTCACCTGAAAAATCACAATTACATATAAATTAGTTAAAGTGGTTGAAAATTCTAGAGGCTATATAAAGAAGAAATCAAGTAGACAATCATGTTCCAATATAACCATTCATCACCAACTATGAAACTAAAGTCAAAATTAACTACAAATCAACCATAGTTATAGTCTCCAAATTAAATGAAACAAGATGAGGATTAGGTTGAACTTAGCCAAAGATAATATTCAATGCTCCTCTTCCATCAACTCTTTCTTAAGGTTCCATTGAGAAATTAGCTAGAAGACACCATTACCATCTTGCTTTGTAAGAAGCTTGACCTAGCTAATTTTAACTCTATAGAAATGGTGGAATCTAAGCTTCAATCTCCTTCCAAGTGTGTGGGGTGTGTTCGGCTAAGTGAGATGAAGAGAATGGTGGAGGAATTTTGGAGGTTTGATGGTTGAATGTAGAGTTATGGGTGCTAGAAAAATGAAGAAAATAGAGAGAAGGTGGAGAAAATGAAGAACATGATGAACTAGAGAGAGAGAATGGAAGAGATAAATGAAATATGTGTGTAAATTTGAATAATGAGGGTGTGGGACGTGCTATTTAGTTTCCCTTTAACTGATCCTCAATTAAAATAAAGGAAAACAAAAAAAGAAAATTTAGGATCATGTCATAGTTACTAGATGGCAACCTCTTATTGGCTTATAAATAATTCTAATATGTGTCAAATTAATCCCATATATCATCCACATTTTAAGCTGATCTAGTCCACCCAATTAAGAGGAAAAATGTCCAAACTCATTAACTTTAACCCCATGAAGATTTAACTTTATTTACCCAATTGATACGCAAGTCGCATGTCGCATGTTACCTATATCATAAAAATCACATAATTCAATTAAATAATAACATGTGACATCATAAAATTTAATTAAAGTGCAGAATTAAATTCATATTTAGAAGGGAGAACTTATTAAAATAACCAAGTTCTTGGGCGCACAAAATCATATAAAAATTTTCACACAAATGCAAATTAAAAACTAGGTCAAACCAGCACATTTGAGGTGTTGACTTTTTATTTAATTACTTTCAAACTAAAATGAATTTGTAAAATTTAATTTGACCACTCTTCTTCTATACTGAAAATATATTTTGTCAATTTTTTCTGTACATTTTTAAAAGTTTATTTTTGGACCAAAATAACCATAGTCAAACAAAACATAGACACTTAGGCAAATTTTCAAATTTAATGCAGTTTGTGTGTATTTTGAGATAATAAACCCTTATAAATGATCCTGATTGATATAGAAAAGTGTGTAATAAATATGTTCTATTAGATGCTTGATGAGAGGATGAAGAAGCTGAACTTGACTAGTTTAAGGAAAGATCAACATTTTTTATATTATAAAAATATAAAAAATATGGGATCTATTATGTCATATTTTATAATAAAAATATTAAAAATTTAAATATGAAACTCACTTAGCAGGAAAAGAAGTTGTATTAATGGAGGGTGCTGAGACTTCAAATTTTCAACATTAAAAGATATAAATCACTTCAAATAGAGCTTAGGGTGCCCACGAACTTTGTAAAGTTCAAATGTAATAATGACTTCTATTCTATTCTTATTTTTTATATTCTCAATGATTTCCATTAAATTCAAAAAACAATTTAACCTTTCAAAAGACAAGGTTCCAACAAGATTCATGTGTAGCGTTCTTCTCTCACAACTCACAAGTCCCACGTCACTCCATCCAACGTCATCGTGTTCCTTTAAAATAACATATGATCCACCATGGAGTCTTGGTAAATCCCACTGAAGGTTATTTTTTCCCGCCAAAGCATATAGGCCCTTTCGGTTCCCCCCCCACCCCGCGATGCGGGCCTCTAAAGGTAGTTTTTCAGAACTCAGATGTAGAGAGCAGAAAATCAGCTTAGCCGTCGAGTTGACCGGGTTTAAACTTTTAAATGTTAAATGATTTGTTAATTTAAATTTAAATTTTGTACCTAATATGTTAAACTGATCAAATTAGTATACTTTTTTTAATTTTTATTATAAAACATTTTTAATTATGTCAAGCATATTAAAAAAATTAATTTTTTTATATTATAAAAAATAATGCATACTTTCATTTTTATCCTTGACTTTAGAAAATGATACAGTTATATTAAATATTTTCATACTAATTAATAAAAGGTAAAATTGAAAATATAAGTTTAATTATTACATAGTATTTTACATTTTGGACTAAAAGTCATTTTTAAAAGGTGTCTTATAAATAGAACCAGAGAGAGTAAGTCAAAATCCAACATTTAATACATTTGATCAGTTACAGGGTATTAGAGAATTAATGACTAGATTCAAAATTAAGAGGATGAAAGAAGTCTTAAATTCATTAATTAAGAATATTCTAAATGATCAAGGAGTGCTAAAGGAAAATGAAGGTTTAGAAGACTCAAGAAAGACTCGTAGTATATTAGGCTTATTCAAGATATTCAAGCTCATAAATCCAATTAATTTAGTTATTATTAATTTTTCTTAACTTTAGAAAATTAGTTTATTTTATTTTATTTTAAATTTAAGTTTAGAAAAATTAGTTTATTTTGTTTTATTTTAAATTTACGTTTAAAAAAATTAGTTTATTTTGTTTTAATTTAAATAAGGATAAATTATGATATGATCTATCCATTTAAAATTCTAAATTAACTAGAATCGTATCATTTAAGTTTTTAAAAGTTTATTTAAATAGTTAAGTCATTTATATTTTTCATACTTAATTTGAATTTGTAAATCGATTTTTTCTTTAATTGTTAGAGTATTTAGATTAGTGTTATTCTCAATGAAATAACACACTGTGAAATTTTAAATTATTGTGAGTGATAGTTCAATTGTTCCGTATCAATATCTTTCAGTTACAAGGTTTTATTAAAAAAAATCTACTTTAATTTATATATAATTTCGTTTGACAAAATATATTGAGTAATTATCTAAAAAATATATAGTCTAGCTATTTATTTGCAAAAATGAATCACAATTGTCTAAAAATATTGTCTGGACACGCTTATTTGTATAGCTTGACTTCACCATATTCAAGTGCATTGAGGAATAAGAAACGACTGTGGGAAAAGACTGGATAAGGATGATAATAAAAATAAGAATACTCGTTCAACCTCTTTAGGAACAGTATATAGAAATGTATGGACTCGAAAATCAAAGTTAAAAATTAATTCCAAAAAGATAAGAAAAGGTAGAAGGACAAGTGAAATTATAAAAAGGTTCGAAAGGTTGCTGGATAGAAGAGCAATGAAGAGAGAGAAGCTGCAGCTTGAGATCAATGATGGCAGACTTGCAGAGAAGCTCGAAGGCTCGTATCTTAAGTCCGAGTCTTCTCTTACTGTTGTGTCTTAGCCTCACAACAAGACCTTCCATGGCTGCTGCCACAGATGATCAGAAAGAAACACGAATATCAGTGAAAGTGGGCGTCATTCTTGATCTGACTTCAGCACTTGGTCTCTTGGCTAACAACAGCATCACCCTCGCCGTCGAAGATATCTATTCCGTTCATAACGATACAGCGACCAAGATCGACCTTATAGTCTGCAATATTTCTCAGAACGACGTCGTCAGTGCAGCAGATCAAGGTAACAGCACAGCACTACTACTCCAATCTCCATGTTCTCATATTTCTTATGCTTTCCCCTCTAAAATGATTGTTTTTTTGGGTTGTTTTTTGTTGGGCAACAATCATTAACTAGAAATGATAAAATCAGTACGGAGCTTGATTCCATGGCTCTGGTGAGGGTGTTGATGATAGGAAGAGGTGGTTGTCGTGTATTGGGGAGTGGCTGCGGAAGGATTGGTGTGTTCTTGTCAATGTTTTTTGAACAGGATCAAAATATTGAATGGCAAAGGCCAACAATTTACGATTCATGTGATTCAATAATAAATCGATGATATAATAATTAAATTAAAAAAAATTAAATATATAATAATTTAAATATAAAAAATAAATATAAAATTATTACTTCACTTATAAATAAAATTAAATATTTTAAATTTATCTTGATATAATATAATATAATATAATATTAAATTATTAAAAAAATTAATTATTTTATAAAAAAATTTTAAAAAAGAAAAAAGTATTTTTTTTAAAAACAATTTAGCTTTTAAAAATCGAATTTAATTTTTAGCTTGATTTTGGTTGTTGGTTTGATTGTCGGTTTAAAACTGCCTAATCTAGCTCAACTCATTAGACTGTTTTTTTAGCTTAATCGGTTGCCGGTTTGTCAGATTCAATCCGATTTTTTTATCATTGATTCGTGTCTCTCACATCCCTGTGAGGGCAATCAAGTGGTTAGTGCGCTTGCCGGGCTTAGTTTTGATTTGGGCAGAGGGACCCATGTTTCGGATCAGGTTCCTGCAAGTGTGGGCTTAGCTGTTTTAGCTGTTTGCTTGTCACCAATGTTTTCAGTTATGATTCGATTTATTTAGCTCAATAAACTAATAATTAAATAAAAATAATATTAAATATATATAAAAATATATAAAAATTATAATATATTAAAAATGACATAATATGATTATAAATTATAATTTTATAATTTGTTAAATATAAATAAATTTTGATTAAATTATATATAAATAGACTTAAAAGTATATGTATTTACATATATAAATATCAATATGTTTGTAAAAAGTAGTCATAAATCATATTTTATATATATATGAATTATTTAAAAATAAAGTTGATTTTAGTAGGATCTAATTTTTAAATTTTTTAAATTTTTTTATTTTTTTAAGTTTTTTTAATATTATGTTTAAAATTTTTTAATTTTTTAAAAACTGTTTCAGTTTTCAGTTTAATTATTATGCTTTTTGGCTTGATAATGATTCAGCTCTAGTTTAATTTAATTCAATCATAACAATTATTTTTTTGTCCAAACCAACCTGTTAACAGTTGCGGTCAACAGTCTGGGCAGTCTAATCATTCAATTTGGTTCGGTTTTTAAATTATTGCTTGTTAGAGTGCTAGATTTCTGGTCTTCGATCTCTTCTTTTCACCAACCAAAAAAAAAAAAAAAAGGAATCAATACTTGGGAAGGAAAAACAACACGAAAAAGAACCTGACTTAAGGCAGCAATATTAAGTAAAAGACCAACAGAGGTCGCATCCACTGTCAAAACAAGTTATATTATTGGAGGCATAACATTTAAAGCCTTTCAAGGAATTTATTACAATGAAAATTTACTAGTTTTGTATAGGATATTATTTTATGAATATATATATATATATTTTTTTTTTTTTCCTTAAAACTTAAATCTTAATTCCGAAATTTTTAAGGAAATTCTAACAAAAAAATATAAATTAAGGTTTAATTTTTAATAATAAAATATATCTGATATAAAATTGATGGGTTTTAATTGTGATAAAATTTTTTGAGAGAGCTTTAAATATTTTTTTTACTATATTATTTGTGACTTATAAACAATGAAATTTATTAATTTTTGGTATTATATATAAATATATAGTATTGATATTGACATATTAATGTTGTTACGATTGCTTCTGTACATTTAGTAAAGCTATAAAGTTAAAAAAATTATGGATTTTAATTCAAATTAGTAATTGTGAATTTTGTTTTTGGAAAAACAACAGCCCCAAACATACAAAGCTTCCTTTGGGTTGGACTAGAAGTTTGATGTAAAAAGCATTATTGTCAGAGCTAAAATTACATCTAGGTCTTACAATAATGCTTTTTATGAAAACCAATTATAAATCGCAAATCAATCATTTATAATTTTTTTTATCACTTGAAAAATCAACATAAGATAGTTGAAATTCTTTGTAGTGTTAGTTGATAATTTATTAAAGTCTATTATGAATTTCAAGCTAATCAATAAAAAATAATTTATTATAAATAAGGATTATGGAATGTTATTGAGATTTCAATAATTTAAGGTCTGTAATTATTATTAATATTTTTATGAGATCTCTAATTGTCATTTTCCTTTAAAGAATTTCAATTTAATTATTTTTCAAAACCATATAAAAACAGAGAAAGTGCAAGTCATTTAATCATAAAAACAGGGCGTCTTTTTATTTATTGATATGTTTTTTTTTTTGGGGGGGCCTCCATTCATGTCTCCCGGTCTCTCCAAGTCAACATGAAGTAGGTTTATACGCCTACTTTATGTTTTAACTTGGAGTGATAAAGATGATATGACTTGGAGACAACCTTGACATATGCAAGCAGCTCTTGATCTAATAGAGAAAGTGAAAGTGCAAGCCATCTTGGGGCCCCAAAATTCAGAGCAAGCAAGGTTTATAGTGAAACTTGGTGAGAAACATGAAGTGCCTGTTATTTGGTTTCCCATAACTGGGCCGTCTCTTTCACCACCTCCATCCCCATCCTCCATCTACTCCGATCACGGCCTTAATTGCTTGCAGTTCCGAGCCATAGCCGACGTTATTAAAGCTCTTGGGTGGCAATCGATCGTCCCCATTTATGAAGAGACTGAATATGGCAGTCACCTTATTCCATGCCTCACCAACGTCTTCAAAGAAATGGGCATACGAATGGCTAACGTCACTTCCATTCGTCCAATTACATCAGATTTAGATGGAACAATCAACAACACTCTTGACGACTTAAAAAGCATGCGATCGCGTATATATCTTGTCCATATGAACATGGATCTTGGGACAACATTTATTAGGTCTGCACAAATAAAAGACATGATGGGTGAAGGATATGCTTGGATACTTACCCAAGAGCTATCTTCTTTGACAGATCCTAAAGTTAATATTCAGAGAAAATTGTATCATGACCTATCTTGGCAAAATTATACGTATTTTACGGATCCAGTTCGTTTGAAGCGCTTCATGCAAGGTGCATTAGGAGTGAGGCCAATGGATTCCAACAAAACAGATTTTCGTAGGCAGAGGGAGGGGAATTTCAGTGACAGGTTCAAAAGAACCCTAACTATCTATGGGTGGTGGGCTTATCACACAATCGAAGCATTGGCTAAGGCAGTAGAGAAGACAGGCCCAGGCAAAGGCTCAATACTTCGTAAAGAAATTCTGGCTACTAACTTCACAGGCTTGTCAGGGGTAAATTTTAGTTTTAGCACTAAAGGACAGCTGGATCAATCGGTGCTTGAAGTATACAACGTGATTGGAGACAGAGAAAGGATCATCGGAGCTTGGAGCCCTGAAACGGGCCTTGTTCAGAATTACAGTAAAGTTGGTGATGATGAGACATCAGGTGAATACAAACTATTGGATCCACTGTGGCCGGGTGACACGATGGATAAACCACCCAAGTTGAGAATTGGGGTCCCAAGAACAAATTCTTTTCCTGAATTAGTGAATGTAGATAATTCAAGTAATAAGACCAAGTTTGATGGCTTTGCTATTAATGTGTTCTTAAAAGCGGTCGATATTTTGCCATTTCCGTTAAAGAATTACGAGTTTGTTCCCCTGCCGATCGACGAAAGCAGCAATACTACAATGCCCTACTACGATTATATTCTCTGCAGCGAAACGGAAGACAAGGCAAGTTTTCATTCTTTTCATCAAGTTGTTTGACTGGTGCCAATTTATCTTTTTGTTTCTATAATGTCATTGATGATCATTCATCTTGAAGCTTGGATACACTCAACTGTCCCAATATGATCTTTTGTTTCTAATTATGAGTAGAAAAAAACTTATATATTTAACCTTGTATACTTAAAATGTTTGTTTTTAAATAAATCAAGACATGTATTTATTATAAATTTTTGTTATTAATAATATTAACATATTAAAATACATATGTCTTAATCTGATTGGATGAAAGTATATCAAGTATTTTCTCCGTTAAAAAATGTAAGGTATGTTTAACCGAATTTTATCCTCCAATAAAATAGTTACGTGTCTTTGAATTAACATTATCTTTTCATATTTATCCCTATTTAATAGGGTGTTTCACCCTAAAAAAATATAAAATCATTTATTCAATAGGGACACTTTTGAAAAAAAAAAGACAATGATTATATTTGAAAAACTTAAAATAAAAGTATTGCCTTTATGAGTATTGGAATATTTTAAATATATTGTGCATTCATTGTATTAATTACTTATTGATCACAGAGCAAGTTGGTCCTTTATAATTTGTTCTGGACTGTGATAAGTGAATCATACAAATAAGCTCATTGAGTAGATGCTCAACCTACAACCCTTCAGCCATAAGTTATTTTCCCTATCTTTTAGCTAACTGGGTCAAGAGGATTTGAGAGAATTAAAATAATTAATCATATACTCCCTTAGGTCATGAATATAAACAATTTCTCCCAGCTAATCTTGGTCTAAAATATAAGCAATTTAGTATTTGTAAAAAAAAAAATATTTTACTCCTTGTACTTATTAATCTACATTTTTGTGTGTATGTGAATTTATAACATTTTTTTCACTCATCATGAATTGGAGATAGGGGTTAAAAAAAGAAAATAATAGATATTTTGATGGGAATAATAATTTTATTTGTATGCAGATTAGTGTTAAAAGTTGTTTATATTTTGGATCATATATGAACTATGTAAATAAGTGGATACAGCCCTAGTCTACACATGGGTTTAAAATCTTAGTCTTCTACTCTCTTTTATATTTCTTTGTATCTTTTGAAGGCTAAGAGAACTTGTTTGCTCTCAAGGTAATCGAGATACTTTATTTGAGTCTATGTTTTCTTTAGAACAATGGATACGCATGTGCTTCATAAAACTCACACATGATTATATTGACTGTTAATTGAGATATTTTCAACACAAGGTGCATGTATATATATAACTATTGACAAAGTGCATTCAACCCGCTATTATTCGGTGCTGGATAGTACTTAGCTATGATGGGACATTTAATGTCAGGGAGCATATCTTGGATTTTATATGGGGATGATCTAGGAGGAGGGGCAGAACTACATAGATCTCAGTGTATGCATATACATAATTTTAATTAATATGTTAGGGTCCGTTTGGATTTCAGTTGGGTATAATAGATTATGAAAATAATTGATTAAGTGGTAGATTTTAATCATAATTGATTATGTTATAATGCAATCTGTTTGGATATTATTTTTCTAAAATTGATTTTAACAGAATTAAAGATGTTTGGATAATTTAATTAGAATCAATTTTAGTTATATAAATTACTATATAATTTAATTTTTAAATACCAAATATCAATTTTTTGAAGATGCAAAGTTCAAATTTTATTAAGAAAAAAAAAGGAGAAAAGAAGAGAATTTGGTTTTATTTTTATTAAATTATGTGCATTTTTTGTAATTTTTGCTTGGGCCTGTCTTTGTAATTTTCCCCAATATTTTGGACAAGTTTCTCCGCAGAAGCTCTGATTCTCAGCTTCCGAAAATAATCGATTTTTGGCCTGAAAATCGATTCTCCAAAAAAGTGGGTGTTTGGGTAATTTTTTGGAGAATCGATTTTTTGGGCCAAAAATCGATTATATTTACTATCCAAACACACTGTTACTCTTATTATGTCCTCATTAATCTTTTTCATCTAAACCCATTGGTTAGAGTAAGTTAAATCAGAGTAAGTTCTTCATCAAATTAAAATAGATACGTTAACCCATTTCCATAGGACTAGAATCAATATGCCCCCACTGGCCTTAGGTCCTTGGTTGGTCGACATTGTCTAGGAGAGTGAGTCCTGGTTTGTAAAGCTGTTTGATTGTTACAATCTAAGTATGGATTCTTGATGCTAAAATAAATCAATATTGCAGGAGCTTGATGCCATAATTGGAGACGTCACAATTGTAGCAAATCGCACAAGGTGTGTTGATTTCACGTTGCCGTACTTAGATTCAAGTGTAGTAATGGTGGTAAGGGTGAACAATGCCACCACAGGTAGGGGGATCCTCTTCAAACCTTTCCATTGGTCATTGTGGTTAATCCTTGGTGGGATTTTTGTGGGTGCAACGATTATGATAATTATGTTAGATGGAAACAAAACCGAGGAATTTCGCTTCAACCCCTTTCTTGTTTACAAAATGGGTGAGTTCTCTTCTCTTACGTAGCATATACAAGTAAGCTTGTTTCAATTTATGCCATGTACTCTCTGTATCACACACTAGATATCAATAATGTTGTTGATCACAGATACTATGGAGAGTTTTGCAAGCAACACTGCAGGGTGGTTGGTGGTACTGACGACATTTCTGTTCATCCTAGTATTGCAAGTTTACACTGCGAACCTAACTTCAATTTTAACAGAAGGAAAAGAGAGAGTGCCTTCATTCAAGGACGAGAACGAGATTAAGAGTAGCAATCTGATGGTGGGATATCAGAGAGGGTCGTGGGTGAGAGGGCTTCTGATTGAACAAGTAGGATTCAACGAGTCTCAGTTGAAGGATTTAGGAGGTCGCGAAGAGTATGATAAAGCATTGTCAGATGGAACCCGAAAGGGAGGAGTGGATGCTATTTTTGATGAAACTCCTTATCTCACAATCTTCCTCTCCCGTTACAAATCTCGCTTTATGATGACAGGACCAATCTACAAAACTGGTGGATTTGCCTTTGTAAGTGTACTTCTTTTTCCTAGCTATATACTAAAAATTGGACTAATTATTACACTAATGAAAGTTTGGTTCAAGAGTTAATGGATAAAATTATAGTCAAACTATGTTCAAAAACAAAGTACACCATCTGTTTCAAAATATAAGTATTTTTTCCTACATAATTTTAATCCAAAATATAAGCATCATAGTATTTGTAAAATAAAAAAAAATCATTTTTACCTTATATTTATTAACCTAGATTATTGTATATATAAATTTATAAGATTTTTCTCACTGCACTTATCATAAATTGAAACTAAGAGTAAAAAGTAAAAATAATATATATTTTCATAAAAATAAGGCTTTTATTATAATGCAGATTATTGTTAAAAGTTAAAATGTGCTTGTATTTTAAAGTGAAGGGAGTATTTGTTGAGTCTCATATTGGAGAGTCTCACAAGTAATAAAGTGGATTTATGAGTTTAAATGGCTCTTTTACCCAACAAGATAGTCTTTTGGAATGTTGCCAATGTTAGGGGCACAAATTCAAAAGGAAGGCCCATCTATCCTAAAAGATAGTCATATTAGGTGAGAGAGCCCTTGAATTTACAAATTTTACTTAATTTGTGAGATTTTCTTATATGAAACTTATAATAGTATTTCATTGAATCAATCAAGAGATTGATTCAATTAATAGTTTACCGATTTGGGCAGTTAGGTTGACATAATTTTTAATACTATATTTATAAAAAAATTGAATGACATGCTATATTTATTGTATTGTCAGGCATTTCCAAAGAAGTTAGGCTTGGTGTTACATTTTTCGAATGCAATCTTAAATGTGACACAAGATGTGGAGCCATTTCGTGTGCTGGTGGCCAAGAGCTCCTTACCCACCTCTATTGAAGATTTGGAATTCGAAGATCAAAATGAAATCGAGACGTCAAGTTTGAGTATAACCAACTTTGGAGGGCTTTATCCTGTCCTCTTATCTGTTGCAGCTCTTTTATTAGGCCTTTCCATTTTGAATCCAAGAGTGATTGAATGGTTGCGCAAGAAGATGGTTTCAATTTTATGTTCGATCAGAAAGGCTTAATTAGACACTACGTACTAAGGCTTGATTAGACTTGAACTTGCTAATTACATTACATGTGTATGTAAGGCTATTCCCTATCCTATCTACTATTATATTATATAATGAATAGTTCCTCTTTTTGTTTTTTTGACCTCTACTAAAACATGTACTCCACCTTGTAAAGAATTTATAGGTGGAATAAATCATTCTGTAACTATGGGTGGGAATATATATAAGGCTTTGAATACCCAAGAAATAAGTAACGTAACTCATGCATGAATCATACACATAAATTATGCAATCTTAACTACCCATATCCCAATGTTCTCTCTCTATAATATTTACATTTATTATAATATTCTATGTCTTATCATATCCCATAAATATCGTCAACTATATCAAATCTATCACTCTTTCTCAAGTTGGAGCATAGAGATTAGCAATGCCTAACTTGCCTACCAACATTTGCAACCTATCTTTTTTGAGTGCCTTTATGAACATGTCTACCAATTGGTCTCGTGTCCAAACTTTGAGCGGTGCAATTTCCTTGGATTGAACTCTTTCATGGACAAAATAACAATCCATTTCCACATGCTTTGTTTTCTCATGAAACACTAGATTTATAGCAATGTGCAATGCAGCTTGATTGTCACAATATAATGATGTTGGATTCCTTTATGATGCTTGCATCTTGCTAAGTAACCATCATAACCAAACCACCTCACTAATCATGGGTGTAACATTCTCACTCCACTAAATACATTTAATAAATAAAGCTCATGGTAATTGAGGGATTAGCTCCGAAGAGTGATTACTAAGGTTTAATCCAAAAGGGAAGGATCTCAAGTATAGAAATAAGTTAAGATCAATCAAAATCTTTTATATAAGAGAAAAAACAAGTTTCGAAAGCATAGGATACCTTAGAAGAGTGACAAAGGTCAAAAACGATTGAAAACAAATTATGTACTAAAATACAGAGCAATGCGTCATGGCAGACGCACTTTATGCCGTGGCATGTTGCTCTTTGTGCCATACACCGCGACTCAGGTGCCATGTGTCGCGGCATGTTGCATGAATTTTTCACTAGTTCTGCTATTAAAATGACAGCAGAATTAGGAAACTTCTGATTCGCCTCGATTCCCCATTTGAAGTTCGAATGACATGATCTAGGAGTCTACAGAAAGCTCTTTTCCTATACTAACTAATGGCACGGTTTTATTTCCAAAACAAATCACACTAGAAAGTTTGGACACCCAAACACATTTTAACCACTTTTTAACACTTTAACACAAAATGGGTGTCTAAAACCCTCAACAAGTGCCAAAAGCCTTTCCTAACACCTGGACCATGTCCAATGGACCTGAGACTACCAGTACAACATGTCACAAGCATCAAAATGATATTATGATTAAAATTCACTCCTTAACTCCCTTTTAACAAAAATAAAGAGGGAGGTAAATTAGCATTGCATTTAACTCAAATAATTCAAAACATGCTCAAATCTTCATTTCTATACTTGCACTAGTATTTTGGCCCTATAAACATATATATGACAACATACACAAAGGCTAAGGGCACAAAATATAATTCTAACATTTTCAACAACCAAAATAATGCAAGTAAGGTAATATGCATCATAGAATTGGTAAGCCATATACTATTACACAATTAAAACTACACTAGAGGCATATAGTAGGAATATACTAATTTCTCACCTCTTTAGTCTTCTCCCTCTCAACATCAGAGCTAAAGCCTAAAAAGTATTAAATAAGAGGAGTGAGTCTAGCTACTCAGTAACCAAGATTAAACCTACTCTACACAGTTATATATCAATTATAAAATAAATACATGCACCAGGAGATCAAATTTTTAAAACATATCCCCATATATCACATTTTATCATTTATCACTCTATAGCTTCTTTACTCACATAACTAGGTGCATTGTCGCCATATTCTCAGATATGTGACAAGACCCATACTCTTACAACCTGCCATAAATTAGCACGTGTGACACATCATATATTTACTTAGACAATGATTAACTAACCTTATATCCTCTTTATTTCCTCAGACTCAAATCGTGGGCTATAACACTGATTAGGACTTTATCCGTGTGACTGGACTACCCAAGCTCACCAATCGTGAGGTGTGACCTGGCCAAAGATCACAGGACTCACTCTCGGACCACGGCTTCCTCCATTCTCGAATCCTTAGGATGTCTCATACCCTAGGCTATTTTTCTCATTGAACCGGTGGAGATAGCTAAGTTCTAATTTTTTGACAAACTATGGGATAGTCCCTAAAAAAATAGTGGGATAAGGCTATAGCCCCCATACACTGGAGGATAACCTAATTACCATATGGATTTTCTCTACTCTAAATCCCTAGGCGAATTCCCGCTACTGATCATGCCATAAACCATACTCACTTGTTCTCACTTTTCACTTTCATATATTCACTATTACAATAATCACGTTGGACTCACGACTTTGCGCTACCTAAGTGTGTATTTTCATCTTTTTCTCAAAATTCATTTCTTATTAACACAAAACTATTTCTATACATCATTACATTCATTTCTAAAAAATATAGACATATTCATAATAAAATCCTCTTAACTTTGCACTTGCATTTTCAAGCCCAAAAATAGCTTTTTCATGCACTCAAAGAAGCTAATATATAATTCTTACTTAAACAACCAATCCCATGCATGTAAGCATTTACAATTTCACATTCACAACCAATTAACAATCAATTAACATATAACTACCCAAAGTAAATTTTTCCCCCGGTTATCTTAAACCTTTGAGAGGTCAAAGGTTTACCCTTCAATCAATTAGCTTCCAAGCTTGAATTTCCACTCCAATAGGTGACCAAGAGCCAAAACTACAATCAACCAAGTTGAATTCCATCAACATAACAAACTTAAACATTTGAACCCTTAATCTCTACTTCTAAATTGGCCAACCTTCACTTTACAAGAGGTAGAGCCTAACCATTAGATTTACTAATTACCTTTAGCTCCTAATAACATAATAAGCCATTAAATCCCATTAAAGACATCACAAACTTCCAACCACCCATAATAAAACTTCAACAACTCAAGACACCACTCATTATACCTTAAATACTCTAATCTACCTCCATTAACTCCATTTAAGTCAACAAATTCGGACCTATAACCTATATAGATTGAAATCCCATTTCCACTATCAAACCCTAACCATACACTTATAAATGTGGAAGAAAAGGGGAGATTAATGGGTATAATACTTACCTTGGGTGCTTGTAGCCTTCAAAATACTCTCAAAGTGATCCCTAAGTAAACCCTAACAGAGCTGTGACGTGCCTCTTCTTTCTCTCTTTTCTCTTCTTTCTTTTTCTGTCTCATTTTGTGTCTAATAAAATGCAAAAAATGGCCATGCGCTGCGGCAAATGCATAACGAGCCATGGCACATGACACAAAGAGGTCCTCCCTCGCTCAAAGATGGCTGTACACTACGACGGACTATCTACGTGCTGCAGCATATGGCACAGCAACTTCAACTCTTCTTTTTCTTCTCATTTCGATGCCCAGGTGGTCCGCCTCGATACCGAACCCACAACTAGAGCTGAAATAGTATCAAACATGATTATTAGACCTCTCTGGCCACACACCACTTTAACTTACTTAATTACCCTAATTAGGTTTAGTTAATTAGGGAATTAAAACTCGAGATATTACAATTCTCTCCTCCTTTTAGGAATTTTGTTCCCAAAATTCACTTAATCTAACAAAGCTAGTAAAACCTTACCTCATAAAAAGAAGTGAGGATACTGGTTTTTCATCTTCTCTTCAGTTTCCCATGTAGTATCACCAGAAGTCATCCCTTTCCAAATGACTTTCACCAGCCGAATTGTCTTATTTCTTAACTGTTTCTCTTTAACGTCCACAATTTTCTCCGGCTCTGCCCGGTATGTCAAATTTTCACATAACTCTACATGTTGGGCTCAATCACATATGAAGGATCAGGTTGATATTTCTTCAATTGAGACACATGGAATACATCATGCACACCTGAAAAATGAGGGGGTAAGGTAATCTGGTATGCCAAAGGCCCAATTCTCTCAAGGATTTCAAATGGCCCAAAAAATCTAGGAGTCAACTTTTTTGCATAGGTATGACCTTTAGAAACACGTGGTCTCCCACTATAAACTCTAACGATCTCCTCCTCTTATCTGCATAACTCTTTTGTTGACTCTGAGCATTTAACAACTTCTGTCGGATAGTCTCAATTTTCTCCATGGTTTGATCCACCAAATCAGGACCCATTATGCTTCTCTCACTCAATTCGGTCCAACAAAGTGGGATCTACACTTTCTGCCATACAAGGCTTCATATGGAGCCATTTGAATGCTCCTATGAAAACTGTTGTTGTAAGAAAATTTCACTAAAGGTAGTGCTTATCCCAACTGCCACTCCATTCGATGGCATAAGCACGTAGCATATCCTTTAGAGTTTGGATGGTCCTCTCAGTTTGACCATCTGTCTGAGGGTGATAAGCTGTATTGAACTTTAATTTTGAACCCATAGCCTCGTGTAGGGCTTTCTAGAAATTCGAGGTGAACCTTAGATCGCAATCTAACACAATCTCTTTTAGTACTCCATGTAACCTCACAATCTCTTGAATATAAACCTCTGCAAGCTTCTCTAAGGCATAATAGGCTTTAATAGCTAAGACATGAGTAGACTTGGTCAATCTATCCACAATTACCTAAATAGCATAATGATTCGCTTGGGTACGTGGCAATCCCATAATGAAATCCATAGAAACACAATCCCATTTTCACCTAGGAATCTCCAATGGTTGTAGCAATCCTGAGGGTCTTTGGTGCTCAATCTTCACCTTCTAACAAGTCAGATACCGGGATACATACTTTATCACCTCCCTCTTCATACCAGGCCACCACCACCTACTTTTCATGTCTTGATACATTTTGGTAGTTCCTGAATGAATGGTGAACTTGCTCCAATGAGCTTCAGCTAGAATGGTCTCTCGAACCCCTTTATCATCAGGTGCATATACTCAATCCCTATACACTACTAACCCATCATCGTTGAACCAAAAGTCTTTAGTCTTG